TTAAAATGTAACAATTTTAAATTTATTAATTAAAAAGGTATACTATCTTAGTATTAAATATTAAATGCACTTTATGATTTAAACGAATCATTAATATCTTTTTTTATAATATTTTTTATTAATTTTATTATTCTTTTACTTTTTTTCTAAAAAAGTAATTTTATAAACTTTATCATAATTTTTGTTTGCCATACAAAAATACTATAAAATGACTAAGACAGTTTATAAAGATATTTTAGAAATCGTCTCGAAATTTGAAATTTTTAACCAAATAACTACATTATACCCCCCTAATATCCAGTTTACCCCACTTTCCCTCTTATTTCTCAATCTATTCATGTTTCTGATTTTTCTTTTTTTTAATATAAGGGGGCGCCATTGGGCCTGACTCCTCCCTTATAATTTGTAGGGGGACGCCATCTAGGATGGAGGCACCCTATAAATTATAAAGGGGGCGCCATACCCTTTGGCTCCTCCCTTAAATGACTTAAAGGGGGGCGTCATCCCCTATGGAGCTCCCTTTAACGAAATTTATTTTTTAAATACACTATAATTAAAATAATTAAAATATAATATTATTTTATTCCAAATTTTTTTTTATAAATAGTTGGACTTGTTGTTAACATTGTTTCATCCAAATTTAGAAGAGTGAGTCATGTACCTTAGAAGATATGGGCATGTAATTTTTTCGAGGACAAAGCCTCCGACTTAGAAAAGTTGATATAAATATTAAATTCCACTGTTACACAATTTTTAATGACCAAATTAAATCTACCTAGAACTTGTTCCAACATTTGGACAGTTTTTCCTCGTATGCCCGGGAAGACGACATATTCCGCACAATCTTTCCATTTTCTCAGTTGTATCCATTTCAGTTGTAATTCGCGTGCTTTTGGGGCGGCCCTTTTTGTTTCTTCTCATATTTTCGTTGTGGTAGATTGTGTCTCCATGATAGGTTGGCCAATAGTCCTCACTAGCTACCACTGGAAAACTGTTACTGTAGATACCGAATAAGTTCACGACCTTGTAAACTTCTGATAGCTGCAAGAATGGATCCTGACGAGCAGTTGAACATGCGGCAATGACATGTGAACAAGGCATGCAGAAGGTTTGAAACTTTCCGCAGTCGCACCAATTTTTATGAAGTTCCACCCTGTAGTGTCCCATTGGCCGACCCTCGTTGTGATCCATTGTCTCATCAACAATGAAGTTGTAATCGTGACGATCAAATGGTCTAACTCGATGTGAGGCCGCCTTAGAAGTTTCATCCCTCATATACTTCATGCTTGATTCGCTGAATATTTGCCCTGATTGCAGTACAGCGCTCTATTTTTTGCCTCTTGCCGCAAAAAGTGACCCCAATCTGTAATACGTTGCCCTTACCAACGCAGTGATGGGGAGGTTCCTAGTTCCCTTAAATACGCCGTTTAGGGATTCTACAAGATTTGTGGTCATGTGACCCCATCTGCACCCTCCATCAAATGACCTTGTCCATTTCTCGACTGAAATGTTATCCACCCACCTTAATGCTTCCGCGCTTGACAACCTTATTTCTTCTCGGTAATACATGAACGATGGTTGGTTTAAGGCATACCCAGTGTTCACAACTTTTTTACGGAGATTTCTGTCTTTAATTTCCCGCATAAAATTCTGAGCAATGTGTCTTATGCAAAAGACATGGACAGAAGGAGGATTGTGCCAACCATTAGCAGGATTGTTGTAGGCGCTCACAATAGAAGCATGTCTATCAGAAATCAGACATAAGTTGGGTTGAGGTGCGAAATGTGTTCTGAGATTTCTGAGGAAGAAACTCCAAGCTTCGCCTATCTCACCCTCGACCAGGGCAAAGGCAATCGGAAATATATTATTATTTCCGTCTTGTGCAACCGCCATCAACAATGTTCCTTTGTATTTTCCATACAACCATGTTCCATCGACTTGTATAACTGGTTTGCAGAACGCAAAACCTTTGATACATGGTTGAAATGCCCAAAAGAGACGAGAAAATATCCTACTTCCATCAACACATGTTCCTTCAGGAGTGTATGCTGGTAGTGACTCCAATATTACAACCGTACCAGGAACATATTTTTGAAGTGCTAGTAGATACTGTGGAAGTTGATGGTAAGAATGCTCCCAATTCCCATATACATGTTCCACCGCTTTTATTCTACCTATCCAAGCTTTCATGTACGATGGGGTATAGTTGAACCTTGTAACCACATGAGAGATAATTGTGCTCACCTTCACAGATGGATCAACGCCCACAAGATACAAAATCTCTTGTGATATCAATTCAAAGCTTAGCTTTCCATGATCTTGCCGATTGATGTTGGTTGTGCAAGTATGAGGTGGATCCATCAAACCAATCACCCAACAATCACTTCTTTTTCGATAGGACGCTGCTAATCGAAACTTACAACCTTCGTTACGACAAACTACGACATATCGTTTTGAGTTGTTCCGATTGATGTAAAAATCAACAAAGTTATACAAGTGGAAACGCTGTTCACTCTATGTACTTACCTTTATTAGAAGATGTAAATAAAATAAAAACATATAGTTGGGGGTCCACAACACTAGCGCACCTATATCGGTCTTTATGTAACAACTCAATAGTAAATTCGGGAAACTGGACCGAATGTGGTGTTCTTCTTCAAGCATGGGGTTGGTCAAGAATGACCAATCTAGCACCTATCCAACAAAATAATTTTGAATTCCCATTCGCTAAAAGGTAATTATTTTTCCCAATTCTCACTTATCTATCATAGTATTTCAATTAATTAATCATATTATTAATAAATGTTTTCTTTTTGATTTGTAGGTGGTCTCCGCTTGGAATGAATTATGACAACTGTCCACATTACAGTATCACGCAGTACAGAAATCTTATTGATCACTTGGGTCAAGATGATGTACACTCACAAACCTAACTATTTATGTTACACTCTACTTGAATATTATTAGAAAATACTTAATATTATTTTTTTCCTCCTACAGTTCATTTGGCGGCCGTATCTTGGTCTAGAAGCCTTTCATGAAGTTGAACGACAAGACTCTGTGGTGTGGTGTGCAAAGGTGCCGATTATCAACTTCACCACCGTGGAAATGCACAACAGTGATCGTGTGAAACTTCAATTTGGAATGCTTCAAGATATTCCATGTCCGCCAAAGTGCATCCCCGACAAATATCACACCGGTAAAGTCTCCGACCAATGGGAATATAATCTGTGGACCAAGTATGCAAAACATGAGTGTCGTGAATGGAGGCATCGCAACAACTATGTTTTGTCCGACACTGTGTTTCCATACGAGATGAAACAATCAATACAATACATGACTTGGTATAGGTCTGTATCAATTGGTTTCATTTCACATCCAAGGTATCTTGTTGACCCACGCCAACAAGATTCATCATCAAGGCCCCAACAACCAACCCAGCCCTATTTCCAACCGCCAACCCAACCTCATTATCAACCATCAACCCAATACCATTTCCAACCGCCAACCCAACCTCATTGCCAACCATCAACCCAATACCATTTCCAACCATCAACCCAATACCATTTCCAACCGCCAACCCAACCTCATTGCCAACCATCAACCCAATACCATTTCTAACCGCCAACCCAACCCCATTTCCAACCATCAACCCAACCCCATTTTCAACCGCTAACCCAACCCTATTTTCAACCCCCACTCACACAATCACAACAATATGAACATACCCCTAACCAATTCACTCCATTCACACAAACTCATTCACAATACCACACATACTCAATGGATACTACAAACCAAATAAACACTCAGTTTCAAACACCCAATCAACCCATACCCACCTAATCATTTACACCCATCCCACCCTACGATCAGGCAGCCTAACCACCCCAAAATAATTATGAAGGCATGGACAACCCTTTTGATTTGGATGACTTTACGGATATAGACCCGTCTTCATGGGCCGAAGTGATGCAATTGCTTGAAGACGACACAATGGACCCGACTCCACAACAAAGACCACAAAGAAACGTACATGATCAGGGATGCGGTACGAGCGGACATTTAAACCGACCACGGCGTTTAGTGTACAATATGTTTCATATGTACCAATTTGTGATTAAATCATAATTGTAATTATTATTTAATATTAAATTTATTAAATACAATTTGATTTTTATTTATTATTTGGAAGTTATTAATGAAATTATTATTTATTATTTATTTATTATTTATTAATTATTTGTAAAATATATAAAAATTATTCAGAAATTATTATTATATAATTTTTATTTTTAAAATATTTTTTAATTATTATATATATTTTTTTAAATATTTTTAAACTAATTATATATTTAAAATTATTTTTAAAAATCAGATTTAAGGGAGAAGCAAAAGGATATGGCGCCCCCTTTATAATTTATAAGGTGCCTCCATCCTGGATAGCGCCCCCTTACAAATTATAAGGGAGGAGGCAGGCTCAATGGCGCCCCCTTGTATTAAAAAAAAAAAGTCAGAAATATGGGTAGATTGAAAAATAAGAGGGAAAGTGGGGTAAATTGGATATTAGAGGAATATAATGTGGTTATTTGGGTGAAAATTTCTCGAAATTTAGTCAATATTTGACAAGTTAACATTTAAAATATTATTAATACCCTAGTAATATGTAATATAAAATAATTATTTAACAAGTGCCCGATATAACAATATTTGACGGACAGGTCTAACCAAAGTAAGGAAGACCCACCCGCACATAATACAGGTGTGTTCGAAACTGTGTCGGCACAACCAGTCGTCTCAAATCGATCATAGACTAGTTGCCTTTCACTCCTGACAGGACAGGTAAATTTCTTCAATTCTATATTCTAATTATTTATAAACGTGTTCCCTCATTTTATCATATCCCAGCCAATGTGGGACTTATTACTGGCAATGATATAAACTACACATAAGTTCTTTCAATTATGTAAACATGATTATCAAGCTTTTTTGTGTGACTATTAATCAGAAATTTCAAAGAATCTTATAATCCCATTCTTCATCTCATCCAAAACAGTAACTTCTATTCCATGATTAACAACTTGAAAGAAACCCCATGTCTCAGATGCCTCTCTAATTTTCTCAACAACTGTTTTTCTTCTTGTTGGGTCTTGATGAATATCAACAAGATCAACAGAAGGAACAATAAGTTTGGTGGTGCTGCTTGAAGATGAAGCTGAATCTTCATCAATTTCGTGATGGAACATGCAAGGGATGTTTGTGATAGAAGCATCAACAAGTCCTTTAACACCGTCTTTTGTTTCATCAAAAGCTTTCAGCTCACTTGCTCTATCATAGTCAGGTTTTGTTGCCACTGGAACTTCACTGGTTTTAGAGATTCCCATTTTTTTGTCAAATTTTTTTGATGTAATTTTTCAAGACTTCTCTCTATGTGTATGCAAGAAGTGGGACTCTTGAAGAGACAAGATTGCATTATTTGGGTGGTGGCTAAAATGCGCCAGCATAATATGTGGCACAGAGTAGACAACAAGTTTGACAAATTTTCGGGGACCATAATATGCACTGAATTTCTCAGTCAAACTGGCATCGGCCATTTCTAGGTGAGATTTTTTTTATTTACTTACCAAAACATCAATACCTTATTACTATAACCAACAATGAAAGTTCACAATTTTTGAATCTATACATAGTTATCTTTACGTGCTAGGCTGCTGCACCATGCAATGACTGCATATGATCCATACGCATCAATATTTGACATGTCTCTAATATGATTATTGAAAAGAATGCAATCATCTATTTTTCACACATCGAAAGTACAATAAGTCAGAGCTTTGGCGACAAGTGTATCAACTATTGGATCCAATCAACCACCATAACGTGTTTTTAATGATTCAGGAGGCTCTTCTTCCATGATGCCTGTGCTTGTTTTCTCAAAGTACTGGCGTATTGTTGTTTTTCGATCAGCAATGAAGGTATGGTCCAAGAAGTTATTGTAAACTTCATTGCCGAGACTTTTTGCAGCCAGAACACTGCAATAATTCATTACCATAAGTTAATTTTACAAAATACTAGTTCAGATTATGGCATCTCTCATAAGCTTATGCATTGAAATCATTTATCTTGTAAAAGATTGATGGAAAAATAACTCATAAAGTTTGTATTATTAATTGAAATTTAGAATACTACTACCAGTGTCGAAGATAAACACGACATGGAAATACGTTATCCCGCCAAATTTTATGGATATTGTACTCTCCATATTGTTTAAAGTATATTTCCCTTCCTTCTGCAAAAAGAAGAAAAAAACTTAGACGACACATCTGTAAGGTACTGTTATAGTTTATAATCTGTTATGACAACTGATTGAGAAATGCAATAAATGATCATATAAGTATGTATGCAAATTTGTGTGCTTATACATTTTAACTTGTTCAATTTGTAAGCAGAAAATGATAGGAAGTAGTAGTTGTGAAAGTGAAGATGCATTTTTTTTTACTATTTCATAAAGTAAATTGCTGGTTCATAGAAATATGGATCATACAAACTAGTAACTTAGTTGGAAAATTACCACTGCATCTATATTTAAAGAATTCCTCATCAGTGTAAGATGCACAAAGGACCTGCATTGAAGACACCATAATACCATCATCAAATGAACAAAACCATCCTATCTTACAGTTAATTCAAGCTAGCAGAAAAAGCTCTTTACTTAAGCTGTAATGAATAGGAAATAACATACTGCTGGATTGGTAAAGGGCTTCCCATCTAGTGATTCAGGAAAAACCTACAATACACAATATTAAAGTTGGAACTGTTGCAGCAGATATGTGTAGGATTAAATTTCATATTTTTGCTCATAAAGAGAAAAATAGAGAAAACTCACGGGTAAAAAGCTGTATTCACGCTCTCTTTGAATAAAAGCTGGAATCTGTCTTCATAATAAATTTGATATATATATTTAATCATATTTCACCACATAGATAATTGTAAAGATATTTCAGAAACAAATTTGCATAACTATGAAATATGATTGAATGCGTTACCTCAGTTTTGTTGATATCAAAAACAGTAATTATAATTGTTTCATCTTGACAAGGCTCAACAGAGAGGCCAGCAATTTCCTGCATAAAAAACAAAGTCGAACGAACGTTCCGGCAATTACAATTTACAACAACGCAATTCCGTTGATGATAAAAAAGGCATGAGGCCTGACCTGAGTTGTAAGGTTGGCGATGCCATGAGTGAAGAAGACAGGTGCTACAACCGAGAAGAGACGGCGGAATCCGGTTAATCTGGCGGTTCGGAAGTTAGTTAGATTGGGAAAAGTTGATCTGGCACTTTTCTCTGTGAAATGTTAAGAGTTAGTTAAGAGTTAGAATTAGTGAAATGAAAAGAATGAAATGAGAGGTTAGCTAGTTACCGGAGAGGAGGGAACCGTAACCGCAAATAGAGATGTAACCGTCAACGTCACCGGGAAGAGAGGCCAGCCCCGAGGCTTCGTAGAGATCAGGGTAGACGGTCATTTCAACAAAGCACTTCTGTTCTGATGCTCAGCTACCCTCTTATGGAATGGTTTGTGCAAACATGTAAGGCAGTTTGATTACTGTATGTATTTGAGAACCAGTAGAAGACCCGTGCACGGGTATTAAAAAATATATTTAAATTTTTATAATTTTTTATTTTTTTAATATTGTAATTTATCAATTATATTAATATATAATATATTTTTAAATTATTGACATATTATTATTAACATAAAAATTTTCATTAAAAACTTGTTGAAATAAATTCCTTATTAACTATATATATTTGTATATATAACATAGTTTATTAACAAATTTTAATATAATTTAAATAGAATATAATAATATATTGAAGCAATACATACACAATCATGATCATGATAAGTAATAACATTCTAAATTAATAATAAAACATAATAAAAAATTCTTTAGGTATAACATTTAAAAAAAATTAAACACTAAAGAAAAACACTGCATTTTTATCTCTCCAATAATGTATTGCTTGTTTTAAAGATACATTTTTGACAATACTCAACATGTATATTGCTTGTTTTAAAGATACATTTTTGACAATACTCAACATGTATATTGCTTGTTTTATAAAGAATAATTTAATTATTTAATTTTACATAAAATTAGTATTTCATAATTTAAAAAGTGGTATGGGGAAAAATAACATATTTAACTATTTATGAATGTTTTGGCAACTAATTTTTGAATTAACCAAGTAAGGCACACAACACAACCATATACAAAATTGAGGCAAAATAAAAATGGGCAAGAATTAAAAATGGGCAAGAATATCACTCACTAATTGATTTGGATATGTAAGAAACAACGATTGTTACGTCATCAAAATTACTGCCATAAAATTGGTATTCATCAATGAGAGTAGCAGTTGAAAACAGCGAGTACGTCTTCTTGTCAAGTGCTCGCTCTTGAGTCAATGATGATATCTTTTGAGCAGTTACTTGTTGTTATAATCTATCCCTAGTTGAACTTACAACAACACTAACAATATGATTATTGTACAAGTTGTCAAAAACACCCCCTTAAACAAACACATGCATGAAAATAGAGTAGAACTTACAGAACTAAAGGAACAATTGTCAAAAACTTAGTATTACGAGTGAGTTGTTGTCCATTATCGACTTGCCCCCACCATGTTAATCTGTTGTAGATCCCATGGTTATCCGTAAACAGTGTTCCTTTCTTCTAGTGGAAAAGTGATATCTTACCTAATGGACACAACATAATCAATCAACCCATGTAAAGAGATCAAATTATTATAACACTCATAAACAGTAACTGAAAATAAAATATATTAATTTATAGCTTGATCCAATCAAACAGAGGATAAGCAAGTACAGACATTTAGAATATTGCAAGGAAGAGGGAACATTCTGACAGTCGATGGGTCAGCCTACGAACCAGGCTTTTAGAAACTGCATTAACTATGTTTTTTTCCATTTTAATTTACTTATGAATTTTTTTAATCAAATGTTGTTATAGCCATCTTGATGATGGAACACCAAATGGAAAACCAACCTCAATACTTAAGCATGACGCAACACTATGTGATTCAATAAAAACATCATTCCAATAAAAAAGGGAAACAAAGCTCTAGTTAAAATGTTAAACCTCATGAAAGCAATTTGTGGACTAAGCTTTGACAGCTTAACAAAGTCTTCATCTTTAAAGGAAAACTTTGCATCCGACTTTCCACCTTCATATGACCCTATATACAGACACAGACCCAAATAATCATACTTGATGGCATGACATTGTAAGAGAAACCAATCATTAAAATTAGCCAAGTTAAATATAATGGTAGAAATTAATAATTCAAAGCAAAATTGTAACGATGGCTGATTAGCCTACAACTACTTAGGCAACAATCTATAATATGAAAAAAAAATTGAAAGCATTTAATCATAGAAGATATGGTCGTGACCATACAGTAGAAAATGAGATCAGATAAAGAAGAAAACATCAAATGACTGGTCTATCTTTAGGATTCAGGTTAAGTGCAGTATTTGATTCACTAACTTGCAGGTTTAAAATATTTAAGAAGCATGTGCAAGTACTTAAATCTACCATTTATAATCCATATAGTGATACTCACTTATCGAGAAACTATTTTTACTTTGGATGTACTCCTACTAAATTGATTCAATAAACTACCTAGTGAACAGGTGTGTCTACACGCCTAAGAACAATCATATCTCCAGTTAGGACAAGAACACCCATCTGAATCATTGCTTCAAGGATCTGCATAAGTGCATAAGCTTCATTTGATAATAAACTTAGATTGAAAAAAATTGAAAAAATTTGAAAAAAAAATGGAATTTCATGCTAGAGTATTCATGACAATATGGGACTCTTTTCATAAGCTCCAAAAATATTTACCTTATCTGGATTCTTTTCATAAACTCCATAAAAAGCTTTGAGTAAACTTTATCTAATATTTTGAATGATACTGTAAGATGCAACACAATCACAATTGTAATAAAAATCATCTCATTAATCTTAAAATGGCCGACCTCTAAATCTATATTTCAATTACACAAAAGACATAAAGCACATACCTTCCCATCATACTGTAGCACCCCAAAATTTGCCTAACCTTTTCTTACTTGGCTTATGTTTCATTAGCATTGCATTGTTCTAGCATTTTCATAGCATAGCATTATTCATTTAGTAGGGGATCAAGTGTGGTTTATATCAAGAGGAGCCTATCTAGAGGTTTTGTCCAAGCTTGAGAAGTCACCAAAGTCATCAGGAAGAGGGTTGGGTTTCTTGAGAAGTTTGGTTATTTGTATGTGGTTCATCTCCTAACCTGAGGACCAATTGAAGATTATCAGTGGGTTGTGAAGCCTTGATCATGGATAGAGTGTGGATAAAGCTCATGGAGTGCCTTGAGGGTCATGGTGGAGCTCAGTCAATTCATTATGTTAAGTATGAAGAGCCACAGTTGAGGGTGTTGCAATTAGGGTTTTCATCTGAGTAACCTTAAGTCAACTGTGCAATTGAAGAGGATCAAAACCTGTTTCTAAGTCTTTATAATCATCGAAAGTTGTGTTGAGATACATGAGATGATATCCCAATATCAATTCAAGAAGAATCCCAAGTGTGAGGAGTTGCTAACTAGGGTTCTCAGGGTAAAATCCCCTATTTAGTACCTAACTTCAAGACCATTTATCTCAAGATACAAGTTTCATCTCAATTTTTGGCCAGCATCAAACTTTTAGATAATGCTCTTATCTTTAATTTGAGTACTAGAAGTCCTTGATTGGATTTATAGAACTCAAGTTATGATCCAGACAAGTTACAGGTCATCAGATGATTGTGAAATTTGTCTGCAAAAGTCAACCAACTTCTAATGAACTTTTAACCTAGAAGGATGTTTCTCCTCAACTTTTGGCCAACATGAAAGTTGTAGGTCTTGATCTTAGCTTTCCAAATTATACTAGAATTCTTCCATATAATTTGTATAACTCAAGTTATGAGGTTTACAAGTCAGGGGTATTTTGGGAAAGTAAGATTATAGGTCATTTGGCATTATAGGTCATTTTCACTATCTTGCACACTTCAAATGAAGTTTTGTCCAACACAAAACTTGTTCAAAATGGCATATTTAGGTCAACCATGTATCAAGGGTGTATTGATTTGACTTAGAGTGAGACTTGGCTTGAAGGAAATTGACAAAAGGGGAATTTAAAGGCATTTATGTGAAAAAATCCAAATTAATTCATATGTGTTCAAACCAATGCAAATGAGTGCTCATTTTGATCAGAAAAATCATTTGGAGTATAATGGCAATATTAGAAAATCCATTTGAGGCATAATTCATGGTGTTTCAACTTGTTGCTTCATGATGAAGGAACGCATCCAATCTTGGCCATAGGATGCAAACAAGGGTTTAATCATGTCCCTACACTCTCCACGGTCCACAAGGATTACAGAGGAAGCTTCTTGGAGAAGTTTTGAGCTCATAATCGTGCATAGCCATGGGTGAAATTTTCAAGCAAAAGTGAAACTTGGATTTCTGAGTCTGGGCTTTCTATGGGCCTCTAGAATCTTTCATTCACTTCTATTTAAGTTCAGAAAGTGATTTGGATCAGGGTTGGTATTGATTTAAAGCTAGAACCAGAGAGTGCAAAGTGAATTTCAAGGGAGCAAGTGCAAATCGTGTTTTCATTTCAAGAGTAATTCAAGGAAAATTGAGGATTCAATCATCTTCAGCATCAATCATAGAGTGTATCTACACAGTTTGAAGCCAAGGATCGTGCCCTAACTGCTCCAATTTGAAGCTGCAACTCAGGTATGCAACTTTCAAAATTGCTGTAAATTCATGATGATCTAGCATGTTTTAGCATGAGGTTAAGGTTTAGGAGAGATTATAGATGGATTCTGGATCAAAATTGTAGAGTTTAGAGACAAATTAAGATGCAACATGATTTCTGTTTGGATTCGAATTGGCCTGTTCTTGAGGTTTTAGCATGAATGGAATAGTTTAGGATGATTTATGAAGTATAAGGAGAAGATCTATGGCTTTGGATTGAGGTTTGGTGACACTTAAAGATTTGGCATATTTTCTGGTAGCTGTCGTGTTTGAGAATTCATGAGGATTTAGGAGAAATGAATGTGATATTTGAGATCAACATGAAAAATGGAGAAGATTGATGTAAGTTTGGTTCATTTTGGTGTTAGTTTGATGACCTGCAAGTTTTGGCTCGCCGGAGAAGACGGTGGCTCAGCCACCGGAGCCACCGTCTGGTTCATCTGAACACATTCCCTCCTATTCCAGTTTGAAAGAGGAAGACAATCCCTCAGCCATTGGATGAAGTTGAAACGAGGACTTTGTAATCAGATCCAACGAGTGAGATCTAATTCTGAGATTGACTTTGACCAGGCCAAAACGCGCGCGTTTCATTAATGCGCTGGCAGCATCAGGATCCTTAGATGAGCTGACTTGGTCCATTGATCCTATGCCCCTG